CAGATCCAAAGTTTCAAGTTTTGTCAATTTCCCGATTGTGCTATCAAGAATCATACCAAATAAACCAAAAGTAGTTGCTTCCAATTTCACAACATTCTCTCTTTTGGTATCACAAGACACACCCCTCCATGAATAAAAAGGACCAGAAAAGTCATAATCTTTGGAAGAATTTGAGTACAATTTTTTGCAAGAAATCATAGATAAATGACCCATATGTATTGGGTTGTTAAAAAACCAAAGGCTTAAAAAACTACGTTAGAAGCAAAAAAATAATAATAATAATAAAAAAAAAAATTAATAATAATAATAATAATAAATAAATAAAATAAAATAATCCAAAACTCATTATTGGATTAGGGAACAAAAAAGAAACAGTACCAAACCCCCTCCAAGATCAACTACCACCAAACTCTTTTCTCTCTAACCTTTAATTCAACCAATTTTGTATCATAAATGTTTCTGCGTCTACTTCTGGCTTCTACAGAAAAAACAAATAAAATTGTGAGACATAGAAATTTTGAGTGTTGGTCCTTTCAGGTCCTTTGGTGGGTGCCAATTTTGGTGGGTTTTGGTTTTGGCGTGGGTAGGTGTGAAGATGAATACTGTTTTTTATTTATTTTTTATTTAACTATTAATATATTGTAATTAATTGTTGGCTCATTATATTACCACTACAAATTTTAATTACTATACCACATTATAATTACATAACAGTTAAAATATATTTTTATTAAATACACCACAATAAATTTACAATTATACTCCTAATTCAATAAAAACAAAGAATTGAAAAAGAACATAATATTGTGGTGTACTCATCACCAATATTAATCCTCATTTTCTCAACTTTTCCCTCATTTATTTTACAACAATTGAAAATAGAAGATCGGTGAAGAACACAATGCCATAATAAATTGAATATTTCTCACAAATAATTAGTATGTTTGAAAGGATCCTTTGTTTATGTTACCATTTTTATTCGAAATATGAATTTTTAATGTATTTGCAATTTCATTTTTTAATCTTGGAAGTCTATTTTGGAAACACTTTTAAGTAAAAATTCATAAATTTAATCGACAACAACCTTATAATTTCATGGATAAAAATGTTTTAATAATTCATCGGACACATTTAAAACCCAACTTGAGGAAGCTTTATGACATATTTTTGATAAATTGGACATGTTTCATAACTATATTAATAGACATAAATTTTATATTCGATTTATTCATACTTGATCAATAGTAAAGTATTGCGTATAATTGTATATATTGAAGTAGTCATCATTTTCCTAACATTTAGGACAAATAAAATTGAATTATGAGAAGTTAAAAAAAATTTAAATTTATTATGATCGCGTAAAAAATACAATATAACAATAAAAAACTTCTTGTTGATTAGGAACAACTTTCAAAAATTCATATACCTCATTGATAAAAATCCAGGAAAGCTGACACACCTACATATACACAAATTCATTTATGATTTACCTATATACATGCAATTCACGGTAATGAGTGGTGAAGCCTGTGTACGTCCTAAAATCCAGGAAAGCTGACACACCTACATATACACAAATTCATTTATGGTTTACCTATATACATGCAATTCACGGTAATGAGTGGTGAAGCCTGTGTACGTCCATATAATGAATGCACGCAATTCATGAAATTATGGTGAGTATATATACGCGTAAATTCATAATCTCATTTAACAATTAAAAATCATAATCTTACATATTTGTTTTAAAATCATAACAAATCTGTTTATCTTAACAAAAAAAATCAAATTCTTAATTTTCAAACTTGAAAAATAAATTCATTTACAAAAAAAGGAAAAAAATTATCTTGCCGCCATGGAGGAAAGCAAAAGCCGCTGGAAAAATTATGAACAATGAGATGTTGAGGAAAAAGAAAGAAAGAAATTATGCTTTATATTTGTGGTGTAATAATAATTTATTTAATTAAATATATTAAAATTCTAATTGAGTAATTTTAGTTAAAGATGTTTTAGGAAATAAGAAAATTGTGATACACTTAGTAAAATTTGTAGTGGTAATATAATTACCCTTATTTGTTTGTTGAAAAATGTAAAATTACCATTTTATCCTTTTAAAATTCGTCAAAATTTAGGTCAATGTTAATTGTTTGGTCAACTAATAGTCAAATCAACAATTTTCATCAATTTGGACTCCAGTTGTGAGTTTTTGAAAGGTTTGGTATTGTGAATGACACAAATGAAAGGTTTGGGTCAAGTCTGCTAATAAACGAAATATTTGGTACCTCGATTGAAAATTTCCCTATCACTCAATGACTAGATTCCTCCAATTGTGGCTTCTATTTTTCCTCCTTGTCCATTGCATAAAAATTAGGTCTTTAGGAGTTTGATTGTTCATTTTCCTTTAACTCTTATACAGAGTGAAGAATATTGGAGAAAAAAAATAAAAATCCCACATTAAATGGATAGTTATTAAGTCCCAGTCGAAGCATCTAATTCCTGGAAAACTACTAAGTCGATGATGGTCCCCTAACCTCTTCAATCATCATAAAGCGATGGACAAACTAGTCGTGGAAACTTTGAAGCCTCAATATATAACATTGATTTTCAACATCTCATGTTAGTTAAACAACTTCTATAAATATTTTCATACCATCTGTATATCATGAAAAATAAAACAGCAAATTAATAGTTTTTGTGATCAATAATAAATCATTTTAGACTTTTATTTTATATTTAAAAAACATGTAAATGAGTAGGGAGTTCATTTAATTGTTTTAGGTTCTAATGCATAAGTATCAACACACTGATCGATCATTCATTCAATCATTGACTCGATGTCTTAGCTGAGTCAATGCTTGTCTCAAGTTTATAACTTTGGTCATATGTCTAATATTATGCATCTCTTCCTAAGTACGCTCAGAGAAGCAAATATCGAAAAATAAAATCATTGATAAAAAACAAACTGAAAACGAGTAAATTTTTTTCGCGATAACCGTACTTTTACTTTTGTTCAATGTAATTGTACTTCAATTTTGATTAACTAGATTTTGGTATGTTTTCAATTAGATAACTACACTACATTTTCGTTTCAATCGGGTAACTAAACTTTCTATTCTATTTAACTTAAGTAGCTTTGTCTGATTCGACTAGTGATAATCAATAACTTGGAAGTTAACTAATGGCGATTAACACACGTAATTGTAGTTACCAACATAAAATAACTACAACTATTGATGACAAGCATCATTTGTTGATAGCTAAGTTATTGATTTTTGCCCTTGTTTGGGCTTTATTTCAATGAAATTTTTGGGAAAATGTATTTTGAAATAGTAAATTTTTGAAGAATTTATGATTAAAAAGTAATACATAGAATTGAATCAAGGATTGAATTTAGGGAAAAAAAAATCATGACTCAATGATTTGTTTTTACCGAATCAAAAGTCAGGTGTACAGTTTGAAAACTTAGATATGAGGTAATTAATTGAAAATATTTATTAGTTAAATATAATAAGACCACAATTATATAATTAATGGTCACAAAAACATAATTATAGGTTACAGTTTATTTATTGATCACATATTATCAAATTAATTAGTCACGAATTTTGTCGACGTCATAAATAAAAAAAAATCTATGGATCACAGTTTATTTCATTGGTCATAAATAAAATAAAATAAAACTATGGGTTACAGTTTATCTATCGATCACATATTTTCAAGTTTGTTGTTCACAGATTATCGAATTTTAAGGTCATAGTTTAATAGTTAATCATACAAAACCAATTATTTAGTCACATACACCAATACCCAATCTTGATCCGAATCCTGATCCACCTCTAATACTTGGTCACAAATACTACCCATCCCGACATAACACCATCACAACCATTGCCACTGCCATTACGACCACTTACGATCGCCCTCACCTCACCACCACAACAACAGCATCAACGCCGCAACACCACCACAACCACCACTATCAACTTTCCACGAACAACCACCTCCAACACTAACAGAAAAACACACCGCCACCGCCATCACCACAAACAACAACCTGCACCATTACCATTGCACCACCACCTCACATCCTGCTCCATGACCACCACCATGCTGCCATCACAGATTGGATTGCCACCACACGGTCACCACCATCAACTGCACACGACCAATAAAACTCACCCCAAATTTTCAACACCAGTTCATGACCACATTTCCACAAATCGGGACTATCAAAACTCAACAAAAACATACACCCAAATAAAACCAACCACTACAATCGCCGTCGCCACATCCACAATCAAACCATCACCTCATCACCAACACCACTAAAATCACCACTTAGACCGTCACTACAAAACTCAAATCGTCATGCAAACTGAGCATCTAAGGCACAAGGTAATCTTCGAAAAGTGGATGACAAACGGCTGGGTCTTGTCATGTTGTGCAAATTGTGTGAACTCAGATCGTCGTGCGAATTATGCTTTCATGCTGTAGTCACCGTGCGATGGTGATTTGGTGGTGTATAAGAAAAAGAAGAGAGAAATGAGAGAGTCTAAAGAGAGAACGGAGAGAGTGTAGAAAGAGAATGAAAAAAAGGATAATTAGGGGTTGACGTGGGTGGTTTTATAATTAAATTAATACCTAATATTTGAAAAAATAAATTTCATACTTAATATATAAATTGTAAAATTTAAACAACTGTTGTCATGTAATTTTCACTTGAATTTACCCAATTGAAAAGTGAAAATCTTACGGACCATTGAAAAAAAAGTTAAAATACAATGAATAATACTATATGTACACCTTGATGTATATACAACCTTACACCCCCTCATATGGTGTGTACTCTTTTTCATGTGAGGGGAGTGTAAAATTGTGTATACTCGATTACATACACATAGTATTACCCAAAACAGGATACCTAAAGGGGAAGTGAAAAAAATGTCTTCAGGCAGGCCTAATTATAAAGAGAAAAAAACTGGCGGCCGACCCAGGCCAAATCCAGCAGCGGGGTTTTATCATTCATGCATGACATCTACGGTCAAGATTGCAAACATGCTCTTCAATCCAACGGCACGTGTCATCTCAGGGCTTCCCATGAAAACCTCAAATCCTCTCTTTCAGCCTCCACACACTCCTTGTCTCTCAAGAACTCAGATTCACGGATACGTATACATACCTATATCCATATCTATAGATATATAGCTATATTTCATTAGTATATACTGGTAAAAATAATAATTAGAGGTTCTTGTACTTGTGGGTCTGTTCAAGAATCAAGATGGAAGAAAATAACGGTTCTGAATCTAATAAGGATAATAATGAGACAAATAATAAGGGCGGTGGGCAGCAGGCGGCGCAGCCACAACAGGTAGTGACGGCGGCGGTGCCAGGACAGCCGTGGGTGGCGATGCAGTACCCGGCGGGGGCTATGGTAATGCAGCATGGGATGATACCTGCGCCGCATTATCCGCCCCACTACATGCCGTATCATCATCACCACTTCCACCAGCTTCATCACCCACCAACGCCACCGCCGCAGCAGCACCATAGCAACAGTAATGGAGGATCCAATGGCGAGAACCGTACTATCTGGATGGGTGACCTCCACAATTGGATGGACGAGGATTACCTCCGAAACTGTTTCGCTTCCACCGGAGAGGTATAAAATGTCATCTTTTGTAATTACAAGTTTTCTTGAAAGACTCTACTGCGTAATTATATGGGTTTTTTTTTTTTTTTTTTTAAAATTAATTTTTGATGTTTGTTATAGGTTATTATGTCCATTTATGGAGTAAAAATATGTACTTTAATAATGGCTGAATCTGAAGTCTAAGCCCTACTACATTATTTAAATGACCATTTATTTTGCTGTGATAACTGATAAGTAATTTTTGTTGGTTCAATAAGCCAAATAATGGAAAATGTTGAATTTAAATTACTTTTATGTCTATAGGATAAGTCACAATTCGAACCTTCTAGTTTGTAATGTTTGCTCTGTGTTTTTGGTATGTCCTATATAAATTGATATATTTATTTCTTTTGGAAACTTCCTATAACAAGTGCAGATAAGAAATATTTGTGCAGTGACTTAAATTGTAGTGACATTTGTCTAATTATATTGTGTAGGAATTAATTTTGTCAAAGCACAATAGTGAAAATCAAACAAGATGTTGAAGGTGATACTATTTTTGTTCATATATCATATTTAAGCAATAACATTGATTGTTGATTGATTTCTAATTTTCTCGTGTCAACATTGTTACATTACTACACAACACTACATAGCTGGTATTTAAAATATGCTGTTGTTTAGTATAGTTATGCCTGCAATAGTTCGCACATGAAGTTTTAGATGCAAATTTTAGAACCAAATGATGCACAGTAACAGTTTTGTCTCGAGGATTCAACATATACTCTTGACTTTATTGGCTCAGTTTATGTAAGTTTTGAGTTTCAGCCAGACAAAGATTTAGTCAATTCCCATTTTCCAGTTTTTGCGATTCAAGTAGATGAAATGATACTAGAATTTAAGTTTATGCTGACTTCCATTTTTAATTTAAAGAAGTTGTACTGCAGAATGACTTTATTTTACTATGTTTATTTACTTGCAGCATCTTATTATTTGATAATTTTTTCCATGCCTCTCACAAAATCTATTAGTACTTGGTGAAAATATTTTTGCTCTTCTATGTCCTTTTGATAGGGTTAGACTTCTGTAAGCTGACCTTTCTGACATTTTGGCTAAAACCTTTAGATTCAGTATTTATTCTTCAAAGTGAATATTTTCATATTTTTTGCTCCCTGCAATTGGTCATGACGTTTTTTGGTCTATGATAATTGGGACTGTTGTTGGAAAAGGAAAAGTGTTAGAAAGGATAATTTTTTCTTTATTCGATTGGGAATTAATGTAAGGAACTTGGGGGGCTTGAATTTATTCCTATGAAGTAAAATAGTCATCATTTTTCGTATCTGAACTATATAAAAAGATCTCTTTAAGAACTATAATTCTCAACCACGAGACAAGTAATTTGCAATTTATATTTAATCCATGTTGTAGTCCACTAAATCTTTTAGAGCACTCAGAAAAACACTTCTCTTTTTAAAGTTTTTATTTCTTTAATTTTGATCAAAGAAATTGAGTGATTTGTTATCTTTTTGTAGGTGGCCTCCATTAAGGTTATTCGTAACAAGCAAACAGGCTTTTCCGAGGGATATGGATTTGTGGAGTTCTTTACACATGCTGCTGCTGAGAAAGTTTTGCAAACTTATTCTTGCATTTCTATGCCCAACACTGATCAACTTTTCCGTTTGAATTGGGCTACATTTAGCATGGGTGACAAACGCACAAATAATGGTTCTGATCTTTCTATATTTGTAGGAGATTTAGCTGCAGATGTTACTGATAGCTTACTGCATGAAACTTTTTCTAGTAAATATCCCTCTGTTAAAGCTGCTAAAGTAGTCATTGATGCCAACACTGGTCGATCAAAGGGCTATGGTTTCGTTAGGTTTGGAGATGACAACGAAAGATCACAGGCTATGACTGAAATGAATGGTGTCTACTGTTCTAGCAGGCCCATGCGAATTGGTGCGGCAACACCGAGGAAATCATCTGGATACCAACAACAATATTCATCCCAAGGTATCAAATAATTATGTATGCAAAATTTAATTGGATTTTTCTCACAAGCATTGCAAAATTAATTGTTTCTGCATGCTTTATTTTTAGAAGCTGATGAAGTGCACAAAAGCCAATTTTTCGAAATTAAATTTTTGAACACCATTTAACATATTCTCACTGACTATGAGGATCCGACCTATTGGATTTTGGGATGGACTAATAGAAAGAAATGAAATAGGAAGAGAAGTGGAAGGATGTAGAGAGATGCGTATTTCAATGTTTTGGCGAGGGCAAGAAATAAAGGAAAATGATGTATAAGACGAGACAGCTAGTAGGTAAATGATCCATGCCCATCATGTATTTGATATTTCCTTCCCAAAGTTTAGAGGGAGAGAGATAAAAACCGCTTAGGTTTCATGTCTACATTCTCGAAATGAAGAAGAGAAAAAGGATAAAAAAACCTCGGTGTTATCCTAATGTTGGTTTATAAAACACAATGGGGCAACATCAGTTTTTGTCATGCCTATACTATACTGAACCAAATAAAAGCATTGAAAGGTGGCATCTTGAAGCTAAACCTGGATACCTCATTTTATACTTAAGACACCTAGACGAGTACGTGTTCCTTTCTTTGGTAAACAATACTGTCTTAAACCTTAAACTCTCAAACATGTTTGCTTTTCTTGTAGATCCTATTTTCTGTTTTTATGCAAATATATCCAGTCTTTGAACTAGAGAAAAAGGGATATGTTGGAATTAGTGATCCCTATCTGTGAAGTCATGAGCAGGGCCCAATTTCGGTGAAGAATATTAGAATCATAAAACTGAATGAGATTGTTCAAGTGGGCACAAGATTTTCCTAAATGTTTTTTATAAGTACTTCACACAACTCTCGGTCTCAAGACACTAGCAAATTTGAGTTAAGTAAAAATGCATTCATATGAAAGTTGGCCCTTGTTTTTGGTATGGGAGGATTGGTTTGAAATCATATCATCATACACTTCTAGTTCTGCTGCAGATGTGTATTTTTCACTATTTTGATGATATAAAATGAAAATTTTTGAAACGTTATAATCAAGGGCTTTTAATTCTCCCACAAATATAATACAACTTATTTCTTGCAAATTTTGCCAACCCCATATGAATTTTCAGTGAGGCTTAATTTGTTGTATTTCTCCATAATTCTATGCGTGTCAGACAGCTTGCTATTTGGTGGTTCAAATAATGTCTGAGTATGCTGAGAGTTGAGATTGTTGCACTATACCAATTGCCTATATGCTGGGATTTTAATTCAAAAATTTAATTTCTGTAAGCCTGTTTAATAGGTGGGTACTCAAATGGAGTTTCAGCCCAAGGCTTGCAACCTGATGGGGATACTCCAAACACAACAGTTAGTTATCCAGTACTTTTCTCTTTTCCATTGTCTCCAATACCTATTGGCTAATATATGCTTGTAGATTTTTGTTGGAGGGCTTGACCCTAATGCCGGCGAAGAAGATCTCAGGCAGCCATTTGTGCAGTATGGTGAAATATTATCTGTAAAGATACCAGTGGGGAAAGGATGTGGGTTTGTACAATTTGCTAATAGGTAATTCACTACTTCTAATATCCTCGGTAGTCCCAGGTATATACAAAGGTTTGTCCATAGCTATTTGAGCTGCAGTATTATGAATCTGAACCCATTTGACAGAAATGATGCAGAGGAAGCATTGCAGAAGTTGAACGGTACAACAATTGGAAATAAAACTGTACGGCTTTCTTGGGGACGTAATCCAGCAAATAAACAGGCAAGAAAATATATTTTCCCCCCTCTAACCCACAGAAACGCCCACCCTCTTATCTTTCTCTAACAAAGAGGTGAACGAGTATCTATGCATTTTGTGAGTTTCATATTACACATTTTCGTTAAAAAAACCTTCTTTTTTTAATCTTATCTTGTTAGGGGAAAAAAATTGACGATTAAGATCATTGAGCAAAGCTTGTGATGAGTTTATTAATGAATGCTTGTATATTTTGCTCCAAATTGCTGCTTTTATAGAATCATTCTGTCCATATAAGAGCACTTTTTCTTGCCTGTTTCTTGAGGTTAATCTTGCTTTCATTTTCTTGTATGCTTATTCTTCTTTCTCAGGGGTGGATGGGAGGGTTCACTGTCCGGGTTATGTTAGGCATAATCTTGATGTTACCGGTTTGAGCCCATGTCTAGTTGCATTATTGAGGAAGTTATGATTTGACTAAGGTTAAAAAGTTTAACTTGTACATAAATAAGGTCGTCGTTAAAGTTGAAGTAAGTTATTTACTTATTTCGCAAGACAGAAAAAGTAAGAAAATTATAAGTTCCAAGCACATTTGTAAGCAAAAGTAACTTCACTTTTCTCGAGTTTTCAAGTTTAAGCCAAATAAAGCTCATATAATCTAGACTAGCTTATATTTATTGCTGCGTTGGGATTTTGCAGTCGAGGGCTGATTTTGGAAACCAGTGGACTGGGGCATACTACGGAGGGCCTTATTACGATGGCTATGGATATGCTGTGCCGCCCCATCACGACCCAAGCATGTATGCTGCAGCAGCCTATGGGGCTTATCCCGTGTACGGGGCCTACCAACAGCAAGTAAGCTGAAAGACTGCTGAAAAGAAGTTTTCACTGAAATACAGCACTCATGGCTTGATATCTTTGTATCCAACTCCAAGTGTGGAGTGGCACTGAATTTTGCCATTCTGAGCTAGTCCTCTAGGAATTTAATTGAACATTTGTTTAGAAGTGTGGTCTCGAACTAATAACTTCTCGACTGGAATAAATTATCTTACGTTGGTATGTCTATCTTGTGTGCATTATGTAAATCCGCATTTTCTGAGATGTGGGGAGTATCATGCACAAACCTTCTTCTATCGATCTTTTGCCTGACGTCTCCCTCCCTTTGCATCCTTGCCAGAGGCTCTTGGTTCTAATGGAGTCTTGACATTTATATTGGTCAATGCCAGTCCCTCGAAGATCTGATTTAATATCAAAGTTCGATTTGCATTATGTGGTCATCGTACGATTACTCCCCTATATCAAATTTGAGATCTTATCGGTCTTTAGTTATTGATGGAAGATTATAATAAAACCTAGATATTGTATAAGAGTACAAACGAATCGCTTCCAGTCTGGACTATCTTGTTTCTGGACAGTATTTAGTACATAAATATTTCAGAATTTGTTTGTTGGGAGTGAGGAAGATTTCGGACTACCTTTTCGAGCCAGATAGTGGGTGATCACTCATCAATAGATACTATATATCTTAGTTTTTCTGTATTTTAAAAACAAATCAAGAAAACGTGTCTCACTCAATAGGAAAAACTTACTGAACCTGGAAATTTTGGTGTTGAACTGTGACAGAGTGGAGCATAAATGTCATTGATGTCTAGATTTCCAGCCTCCTGAGCTCCTTTGCGTCGATACAGTTGGCAAAGGTCCGAAAAGTTACCAGTGGCATAATCGCAGAACTTACGGATACAAATTGTGAGAATTTGTTCTTTTTCGAAATAAGGTCTCTGGGTGGGTTGCAAAGTTTTGTATACGTGCGTAGCACTCACTAAACACTCGATAATGGGACATTTATAAGAGCAAAGAGGTGATTATGATTTGTTTACAGCTGATTGATACATGTGTGGCCTATAAATTGAATGCGGCAAATTCTTTATTGTTGAAAAGGTCATTTTTCTTGAAATCTCTGACTGTAGGGATGTGGAAGCAGATATTATTCTTGTTTTTGTTCTTGTTCCTTTTTACATGGGAGTTAATAGTTATGACCTTGCTACATGTACATCAAGTTTTACATAATGTCACATATCATTCTATCATTTGTCAGTTTAAAATATAGTCAACTTTTTTATTCAATTTTGTCCCTCCACATCATTTTCAGTTTTAACCACTTAGAGCCCATTACCCATTTTTGATGGTTCATTTTGTTGGATTCTAATTAGTAATGGTGAATCGATTCACTTCAGCCCAAACCGAATTGATGAATGAAGAATACAACCTCAATACATTAAGTGGTAAGTAGTGAAATATGTGTTGATTTGGTTCTTTATTTGTCACATTAAACCTTGATTGAAAGACACCTTGCTTGTCAATTTCAAGTAGCATGTGCATGGTCAATAGTTCCTCCCAGAATATAAGAATAATTGCGCACCTTGATCTGCATTTATATATGTAAATACTAAATGTCTAATCGAATAATTTGATCACGATAAATATAATATAAACAACCAATAGAATTGAGACAAATGAAAATCATACAAAAATAGAAACCATTCTAGTCCGGCCATTACGTTTCAACTGGAGGTAAAATTGCGTACAGACCAAATTAAAGAGAATATGAATAAAGGATTCTGGCATGCAAAATTTAACCACTTCTGTTTGCTGACATAAGTATTGAGACTCATTTTCAAATTCTGCAATTTTTGTTTGGACAGCTAAAAGTGCATAGGACTAAATAGGCTTGATCTCCTGCCTACGCCCCTATTGAATAGGATAAAAACTTTTCAGAGAATCATAATTAAGATTCTCTTGCCATATCAGTAGTGGAATGGGGATAGTGATCAATTTCATAGGACTAAATATTATCCCATCAAGAAAATGGTGGCAGTTTCCCTTGAAAAAAGGATGAGATCATAGTTAATGCACGTTCTGGTTGGTAACTCGGAACTGTATGTGTTGTAGAATACTTGATACAAAGAGGAAGAAGAAATTGAAATCACAGAGGCAGGGCAAAAGTCATTCTTTCATTACACATCATATATTATATAAGATACAAAAGGATATTGTCATCATGCTTTGGCCAACCACTTCTTACCAACTACTACCACCATTTGATAGTCTAAGAAACTATTATGATTGACATTATAATTAAACTAATATATAAGCAATACAAAGAAAGTGTGGACAGCAAAAGTGACATCACATTAACATTCCTCCTTGGCACTTTGGCTGGAAACACAAAGATTTTTCCTAAGTGTTTCGAACCTTTCTTTAGTTAAAGACCTGGTAAAAATATCAGCACATTGTTCATCAGACTTGCAATGCATTATTCTCACTTCTCCATTCTCTTGTGCTTCCCTAATTGCACGATACTTGATCTTGATGTGCTTTGTTCTTCCATGAAACACCGGATTTTTAACCATTGCAACAGCTGATTGGTTGTCACAGAAAATAACTGTTGCATCAGCTTGATTAACATACAAATCATCCAGCACTTTCCTCAACCTAACGGCCTAATTGGTAGCTTCTGATGCAGCCACATATTCTGATTCTGCTGTTGATTGAGCCACGGTCTTTTGCTTCATGGAGTTCCAGCAAATTATATTTGATCCCAAGTAAAATGTATATCCAGAGGTGCTCTTCATATCATCCAATGATCCGTCCCAATCACTATCTGTATAACCAATTAACTCCAACATTTCTGTCTTCTTATACCAGATTCTCATGTTTGTTGTTCCTTTGATGTATCTGAGCACTCTTTTTGCAGCTTGAAAATGCAAAACACTTGGTTCTTGTCTAAACCGTGAGAGCAAATTTGTAGCATACATGATGTCTGGTCTGGTAATGGTTAAATACAGCAAGCTTCCAACCAAACTTCTATACACTTTCTCATCCGCTTTTGGACTCTCATCATCTTTTACCAGCTTCGGATTTTGAACCAAGGGAGTCTTTACCAGCTTGCAATTTTCCATACTGAATTTCTTCAAAATTTCTTTAGCATACCTCCTTTGACAGATAAAAATACATTCTTGTGATTGATTCACTTCCATTCCAAGAAAGTATTTCATTTCCCCCAGATCAGTCATCTCAAATGCCAACATCATTTTAGCTTTTACTTTGTCAATTAAAGGTTCATTGCTGCTGATTATTAGAAGATCATCAACATACAGAGAGATAATGATTGATTCTTCCTCTACTTGCTTAATGTATAAGGTTTGCTCATTGACACTTTTCACAAAACCAAGATAGCTCAAATGCTCATCAACCCTGTTGTACCAGGCTCTTGGAGCCTGCTTCAAGCCATATAATGCCTTCTTCAAAAGATACACCTTATCTTCATTTCCTTCTACCAAGAAGCCTTCAGGTTGCTCAATGAAAATTTCTTCATTTAGGTAACCATTTAAGAAGGCACACTTCATATCCAATTGATGAATTTTCCAGCCACTTTGAGCAGCAATTGCAAGCAATAATCTGATGGTTTCATACCTGGCCACAGGAGCAAATGTGTCTGTGTAATCAATACCATATTGTTGAGCATAACCCTTTACAACTAATCTGGCTTTGAGCTTGTTGATAGATCCATCAGAGTTCACTTTGGTCTTGTACACCCATTTAACACCAATCACATTTTTATTTTTTGGTCTATCAACTAGCACCCAAGTTTCATTCTTTTCAATCATATTAAGCTCCTCCTTCATTGCAGCCATCCAACCATGTGAATTCATTGCCTCATTGAAGTTTGAAGGCTCTAACACGGCTGAATTACATCTGGCGTAAACATCAGCAAGAGACCTGGTCCTTAGCACTTCATTTTCTGAGTCTGAGTCACTGTTGTAATACTCCGAAATTTTATGCTGATTTAAATTTCTTTAAGATGGCGATTTAACTTTCAATACTATTTTTGGCCATAAGAAAAGGGGACACCACTTTTGTAGTGGTTAATGTTAGAGATAGCTAATGACTACAAGCATGAGGTGTTAAATGTTGCGTATACATGAAGTGATTATTAGTTAGTCGAAACTTAAGTCAAGTTTGAAATTGAATGTGGTCGATTATTTTGTTAGGACTTCAATTGACCAAATGATTAAATTAATTTACGATCTACAATTTTTGGATATGTAAGTTGGATATAAGTTTAGATTTGGGATACATTTGCTAATAATGAAAGATAGAGGGTTGGATTATATTAGTTGGAAGATTAGAGGTTTCCTTTGCA